CCCTAAACCCCTAACGCCCTAAAACCCTAAAACCCTGAAACAAAACTCTACGGCTCTGCAGACCAATGTGCAAAGTCTTCCGGGCCCAGGGACCATGCAGAAGAATGGCATTGTCGCTGCTGTTTTGAACGGTAAGAGTTTTGTTGTAAAGGCCCTATAGCGGAAACTGGTTGTGGAGATAGTTTGGGCCTTGTAAACGGTTTTAAGGGCGATCAGAAAAAGGTTTTGGGACATACTACAGTCTCATTATAAAACAATAAATAAATACATATATATATATATATATATTAAAATATATATATATATATTAAAATATATCAGTCTTCTATGAAAACTCTATAGAGGATTTTTTCAAGATCCTAATATAATCATTTTAGAGCATTTCAAATATTATAGAATTGAATATTCAATATTCGATATATAGAGGACTAGTGTTATTGGGTCGAATATTCGTAATGATATATTATATGGTTCTAATAAGCATTTTATATAAAGATAGCCACAAGCACCTTTAAATCAGTACCTATATAAATATATATATATATATTATTTCTCTGAAGAACATTTTTCTATTTTAGATATTTTGATCGAATCCCTTTTATTTTAGTTGAGATTCTTAATAAAAAATCCTATAAATCTGAAATATATATATATATATCCCTATATATATATATATCTATCAATTCTTATCTCTCTCTTTATCTATCTCTATTCATCTCATCATTGCATTTCGATTATAGAAATCCTCTCTTGCCGAAGCCCGAAAGCCTCCGAAATATTGTACGAACAAGTATTTTCAATAAAAGCCCGTCTGCATTTGAGCAAGTCTGGCTGTGATGGTTAGCCACCGGAGCGCAGCCGGACTGGTCAGCACTTAACATAGAACAAAGGCAGGAGAGCTAGAAAATAGAGGCCAGAAGCTCTGCAAAGGCAGCTCGATCCTGGCACTGCACGGGCAGCCAGGCAGTTGCTCGCAGCACACGTGTCGTCTGTACAGGGAAGCTTTTTCGGTGTCGCGCATCTTCACAACTTCGAAAGCTGTGCTGTTGGGACGATGTACTTCTGCTCCTGGTGATCATGGTGACCATGCAGCTAGGCAATGGATATCCCAACCGACAAGTGAGCCCAGCACATCTGCAAAAGTCATGGGCAGGGGCATGGGAGGAAGAGGGTCAGCCAATGCAGATATAAGTAATTAACAAGAATAACAATCCAGATGAGTCATTCAATGCTAATTCGGTAAACGCCAGCAACAAGTAGAAATGTCAAATGAAGCAAGACGGACTTCTCTGGTCCCCGCCTCGAGACGGGCACGAATGACCTTCTTGTCGATCTTTCCAGTGCTTGTGAGCGGAATCGCATCCCAAACCTCTGCTCGCAGTGGTGACACTTGTCGGCAAAACCGATGATAAGTGCTGCTGAACAACTGTGTCTGCGGCATCAAATGTACATACAACACGACAGCCGGTTCATGCTCCTAATACTGCCTAACTCACGGAGCTGAACACTTGGAAGCACAGCCAGGTACCGCGGGTCTGCAGGTAATTCATTGAAGAGGTTTTGCACCTTTTTCCCGGCTCCACTGCTAGACGGACTTCTGGAGTATCCCGAGCAGAACTAGAGCGAGGGCAGTCTGAGGAACCAAACATGGTAACAAGGATTACTTAGTGCACACCTTCTCCTGCTCGAGTAGCAACACACACTTCTTTTTGGCGGGAACCCACTGGACTGGAGAGCCACACTGTGACACTGGCATGTCCGCAAGTCCTGGACCCTGGAACCCGCAGGCTTCTGTGCTACCGAGCGTCCAGCACATCATCAGGCAGTTGAAACTTCGCAAAGGCTTTGGACAAGTGCCTGAGCCAAGATCTTCAGTGCTCGATGTGGTTGGCGGTAGTGTGGCATGCTCGCAGGTGTAGTGCAAGAGTTGCTTAGGAAAGGGAAGCTGATGTTCGGCTCAAGCTCGCGAAAGCACTCTGGGCTCTAGTCAGGATACTGAGAAACAGAGTATCTGTTCTCAAGAAGTCTAAACTCGTCAGCATCCTCTGGTGCTCAAAATGCAAGAGCATCACACTAAAGGCAAGAGAAGCTCAAGCTCTAGACGTTGCGAGCAAGTGGAGAACATCAGCTGCATCAAACCGGAAGCCCGGTAAGATACAGTCAGGTTATGCATCTGATGATCCTCTCTTGAACCTGGATCTTTGTTGCATCTTCTCTGATTGTCTCCAGTTTTTGTCACTTTTGTAACCAGCTGGCTGTCGAGCTCGTTCAACCAGGTTGTCTTTGGACGCGCCCGGATGCAAAGTCACCTTAGCAAGCTGGCGATCGATGGAAGTCGGGATCCCTCCCACATTAACCTTGTGCATATGCGCAATTCCATACCACACCCAACTTGCAACCTTGCCCAGAAACCGCTGCTAGCAAGGAGCCACAGCCACAGGCCTCTCATCCCAGCGCGGATGCCTCAAAGAATCGTGTCCAAGTCCACTGTGCTTGCAGCTCTGAAATTATTGTGGGATGTTCTGGGGTTGCTAATCCATCTCAACACATCCCGGCTGCGGGACGCCGACGACGGCCGCCACACTCACCCCGGGCAAGCTGGTGAGTGAATTCCTGGTTGGGACCGGAGACATTTCCCACGTTATATCTTGTCTCAGCTTCGACACAACGAAGGTTCCAGGGCACCAAGATACATACCACGAGGACTGTGCACTGGGAGATGAGCGAAAGCCCTGCTTGGAGTCGGCCCTACCAGAAGCAAAAACGACGCAAGAAGCCAAATGTGAGGCAAGCGGGAAGGTGGTTGCAGCTGCCGCGTGTCACTGACGGGAGTGCTGGCTCGAACAGAAACCTGATTGGCTCTGTCCTGTCAGCCCACAGGATGTAGCTGACGGTTTCGACAGCCCATCCTACTCTTCATGTCTTCGCACGAACCACTGACAGTTCATTAGGAGCACTTGTCTATACTACATCGCATGTTCGAACCTGCGCGAACCTCGTGACTGACGTTATGATTGGGTCTGCAAAGACCTGTGCGATCTCCAAAACTGTTGAAGCCGTCCAGACCAACTAGAAACGAAGGCCAGCATTGGCAAAGCATACTCTGACCCAAGTGCATCCGATCTGAAATGCGCGTTGACGCTGACACCATGGAGCAGACCTGAAAGCGGCCTGGACCGCTGCAGAACGAGCAGCCCGACATCTCCGGATACCAGGCACGAACTGCAGCCGAAGGGCTCCATGTCGATGGAAGAGATCCACTCGCCACCTCACAGCTGCATCAAAAATCATCAAAACCGGTTCGCCACTTCGGATTGGTCGTTGCTTCAGCCCCGCGGATTACACCTGGTGGAAAGCGCGCCACTCGCGAGGCCTTTTAAATGTTATCTGCGAGAAGGTTACGGCAGGCCGCGGATCCACAAGCTGGACGGGGAGGAAGTGGGAAGGCAACTTACACTTTCACAGTTCTGCATGCCCGGGAGTTCCGAACGAGCACGCATGCCGAGGTAGTGAATCCCTTAAGTTCTGCTTGGTCTTATCCAAACCTCCGCACAACGACAAGTCTCCCGCAACAATGTCAGCCCGCAAGCCTGATTTGATGACATCCTTCGACCGGTCGCCTGAGTGCAACAGACAGACACTCCTTCGGTTGCCTGGCAGAAGAAAGCCACGAGTGATGTCTTTCTTCATGCCTTCTACACAAGTTGTCGAGAGACTACACAGCACGAGCTGCACCCCTTGAAGCTGCATGCACGTGGCTGATGATGATGAAGCCTTCTTCGTCGATCCTGTAGCACGAGGCACAAACATGTTGATTGGCATTCATCGGCATTGTCTTTTCTTAGCTCCGACGAATGCCGAAAACTGACGGCAAAACTGGAACCTCCGGCGTTCGTGGTCATGCAGCCAGTGAAAACTCAGCATCCCATTTTCAGGAGCACTTCAGGCAGTGACATGGTCAGATTGCAATTAGGGCTGCAGTCGAAGCTCTTTGCCACGTCGCCGGTTATCAGCCAGCCCTGGAAGAACTTGTCGGAAGCATCTACCTGATTGCAGCTGCTCTGTCAGACAAGGCTTTCTATTCGGTCAAGCCGCAATGCGCGCCATCCCCTTCCAGCCTCAACAAATCCTTGGACAGCATAAATGTGGTCAGAGAAATGGCAGAGAGAATAGCCGGGGCCTAGAACCCCATTCCCCACCCTGCGAGCAGCCAGGAAGTCGGAGGCTGCACAGGTCCGAGCACAGGCACGAAGCGGCCACATCAGCACAGGATAGCATGAAAAAAGACATGCTATGCAGGACAGAACAACAGAAAGCAATCAATTGCGGAACGGACACACAAGGAGTGCTCACTGTATGACGACTGGGAGGTGGGACAGTCATGGAAGTTTCCATCGCTCACGCCTGGAAGTACTCCTGGATGACCCATGGCCCACGCACCAGCCTTGGAGCGCAGTCCGGCTCTCGGGTGCTTGCACAGGGCCTGCAGAACGGCAGCTTCGGAGTCGAAGCTCGGAACCTACTAGTAGATTCGTAGATGTAGGAACCAGCTGACAAAAAAACACCAGCCCAGGGGCAACTCACCAGTTTGACCACAGGGTGCATCGCGGCTGAGATCGTCAAACTGTGCGACGCGAACCTCCACTCCTTCAGTTGACAAGGGCCGGCAATTTCGCTTGCAAAGCTGGTGCTGGCTAGGATGAGGTGGCAGATCTGGAAAGTCACACGTGCCGAATTCGCCGAAGCTCCTGGATTCGGCAAGCCAGCCTTGAGGACGTTCTTGAAAGTTTCGTCGACACCTCGGGCAGCAGCTGCTGTCGCAATAATTCGCAATAGCTCTTGCATACGTTTCCCAGCTTTGTCCAACATGACTCCCAGTGGTTTGCAGCACGAAGATCGCCAGCAAATGTCCCAAAAATCTGAATAAATCTCAGTAGTCAAAATCCAGAGCTGAGGTCGAGAGGCTTTTCGCCAAATCCGAGAACTTGCCGAGACGAACTGACATCCTGAGCCAAGCCAAGCAGGAATTGAACGAAGGAGTCCTAAACCAGTCAGTTTACTGTCAAAACTTAGCTGAGGTTGCTCGCTCGAAACTCGCCCTGCCGCGGGCTCTATCAGCGAAGTGTGCATATGAGGATCGGGGACTCTCTCGACTACAACCTGGCTCTGCCTCTCAAGTCGCAGCCTCTCCGAACAGCCAAACAATCTGCCCTGCTGTGCTTGACCAGCCGTTAAGTTCTGAATAGCGTCGGTACATAAACATCTCTACGAACATGCGCAGCCAATCACAGAGTGGCAAGACGAAACATGTTGCACTGCGGCATAGTGTCGAGCCAAGTGGATTCGTCTCCGTCATTCCCCACACCTTTCCATGTCTCGGCGGGACAAACTTTGAAGCGGATTTGGCACGGCAGCCCCACCCAAAGCATCACTGGCGATCATGCATAAACCGTACATTCCAGGTCACTAGAACACCTGCAGGTTTCAGAGCCTGGATGAACTCCACGCCCAGCTCGTCCTTGATTTTCCGACACATGGGCGGCTGCCAGCATGTCTGCGAATGAAAAACAAGGGTTGCTTGTGCCTGTGGCGCTTGGTGCCACCACACGTCGGACGTCATCCCGCTTTAGCTGCAAAGCCTTCTAGGTCAAACCCTGATTCGACAACTGGAAGCATGCTCCAGCAGGAGATCTTCACGCTTTTCTTCGGTCAAACCCGAATCCCCCGAAACCCTGGATACAAACGCGCTTTTCTTGAACCAGGCTCAAACAAGCTCAAATCTGTTACACCATAAATCGTAAAACCCAACTCACACAATCGCATCGCTTATGTCGCCCGGAAAAAAGCCGTGGCACGGGAATTCAATGGAATTCACGGCAACATACCAGCCAGCCTAGCCGATAGCCCGACTAGCAAGTCTTTGTTGCCTTCGACTGGTTTATAAAATTCATGTTGGAGCGGCGAGCAGCCGCTGAAGTGACCTCCAAGCCCGGCATCCTGCCAAGCAGAACCTATCCAAACCCCACAAAGTTCGTACAAAGCTAGCAAGGTTTGGGTGAGGCAGCCCCAAAAACGGCATGCCAGAGGACCTACATGGTTGGATTACATTCCCGCACGAGGGCAATTAGCACAGAAAACCTGAGCGTCTTAACACATCCGACTTCGGGCTCGGACGTCTGTAGCCTGTCAGCTTTAGCACCCTCATGCCCAAATCCTCAGGCTGCACTCATCTGAGCCGAGTGGCCAAGTACCAACGCATCATCTCCGGGGCAGGGGCCGAGCCTCTGAGAGTAAACCATCTGCTTAAGATGGGCCCACTACATGCCGTGCACGCGTGCCTTGCCTCCACAGACGAGGCGCTGCAAAGCCAACACCGGCTTCCATTTCGCGACTCCTTCAAAAACAAGGTGGGCAGTGAGTTGGGGATGGTGGCTTATGTGCAACCCTGCAAAGGCAACCATTAATTAGTGGAGCGTAAGCAAGCGTCGGAGTGCTGACCTCGAAGCCTGCCACTCCAGACATGCCAGTCTGCTGCGTGTTCTCACCCGCGAAAGCCATTTGCGAGACCGACGATGAACACTACGATGACGACGACGAAGACGACGACAACAACTACAACTAGGCAGCAATCTGGGGTCCGGGCCAATTCCAACCCCAACCACCGTCAACAGCCAGGACAAAACTGCAGACCCAGCCTCCAGCCCGTGACTAAAGCACTCGAGCCCACAAGATCAACCCAATTTTCCGGCTCGAGCATGCTGCGGGCTCATAGGCACCGCTTCTGTGGAAGGGCGAGGGGACACAGTAGCAGCTACTTCGTTCCCCAGCAGCCCAACATGCACCCTCTCCTTAACAACAAGAAAACGGTGAAAGGGCACAACTGGAGGACTTCGGATGCGCTGTCATTTAAGTACAATCCAAGCCCTTGTCGGCTCGGAAAGGGATCACAGGCGGTAAATGTCAATTGTCCATCCTACGCCGTCGTATACATGACCAGGATGGATAGTAGGGCTCTTTGCCGGTTTGAACACTATACACGAAGACGGCCACAATATGGTAAACGTTCATACGTGAGGCTTCAGGTTTTTCATCGTACTCCATGGTCGGAGTTACTGTGGGTTACGTCACTCCGCCTTGTCCCGTGGTATGGGGCTTACGATTTAGGGCTCGCGGTTTCGGAGACTAGTGGCTCGTCAAGATCACAGTAGGCTTGATCCCTTCTTGTCGATGGTACAACATCTTTGTAAAATCTATAGCCGTGGCACGCCCAAGCCTCTGCATAGGCAGTGCTGAAGACTAAGAACGCACGAGCATCGTGCGTGGTGGAAGAAACACGCGACTGCTAACATACACGGAGGAGTGCACAATGGGCTGGCATCCTCCGAGGAGGGACGTCTCACGAATGGGATAGACTGGATGTGGTTGTGGGGTCGCCTGCACTTGCATGTACACGGCGGGCTGCACAATGCGAATGGTGACCGGAAGGGCAGGTTGGGGGACTGCCTTCATGAACACGGCAGGATGGTGGATTGTGCGCGGGAACGGGCAACGGCTCCGGTCCAGAACCGATGCAGTTGGGGCTGGGGCCAATGTGCGAGTTGGAACTTGGTGCAAGCCTCTGATGGTGCGAGCTGTTGCGCATGTCTGGGACATTTGTCCTTGGGATGTCTGGGCAGTGCGAGGAGCCATGGTTGTCTTGTGTGCACGCTCCGAGTTTGGGGCGACTGTGACTGCAGGGACTGGGGGGACTGGGCGGCAGGTCAAGGCCGGTCCTGAAAGCGAAACTGGCAAGACGGCTTTGGGCACCTTTTTTGATACGGGCTTCGGTGCCACCTCGACCTTGGGTGCCAACCAACGGCGCCGTTGGTGTTCTTCGTCTTCCGGTTGCCAAACCAGGTTTTCCATGTTCTCCTTGCTACCGACGTAGAATTCTGGGCACAGGTCCAGGACCATGTTTGAACGGTGGCTCTGGAGCTTGACAAGCCCTACAACTTGCGGACAGGAAGCCAATTATAAGCCAATGTGCTGCGGGATACCAACAAGTGGTCTCGGAAGCATTTGCCTCTATCGACAAAGCTGCAGGACGAGGGTCGAATGTGCAGGACAGACGGAAATCGATGCGCTTCAACAGGCAAACCCCGTCCAGGCCTTCTTTCTCGATCTGTGCTCGAACTCCCTGCCAGACAGTCGGGACGCCGCACGAAAGCTGCACCTTCCTCGGAAAACACACCGGAAGCCGGTGCACGTGCAGTCCGAAAGCTGGTACTGATGCAAGGATCCAGGTGCTGCTGGTTCCTGGTCTTCATCTAATTCACTGCCTTGGCGTGGCCTCAGTCTCGACTGCCTGCAGACGGCACCTGCCCCTACAAGTAACAGACAAGTGTTGGACATCTAAGCTGCCAGGCTTCCAGTCTCCGAACATCTGAAGAAGGGACCCTGGCCCGGGCAAACAATGGCATCCGAGTACGAGAGCAGCCCCGCAACGTGCCTGCATCCGTAAAGTGGGAAGGGAACACAGCACGGCAGCCCATCATGAGGATGTTGAAGGGCACCCCCCAACCTTAACATTCATCGCGAGGCTGACTGCAAGCCAGAATGCAGCCTTCTACCGAGATCTATCGAGTACTCGCAGCAGCAAGCAAGCCACATCCAAGGTCGCGTTTCGCGCGCCCTGCATCCACAGCAACATCCCAGTCAGGCCAAGCAACTGAGAACGTGGAACATAGGAACGAACCTGCCCAGGGGAGTACAGTCTTCTGTACAATGTTTCCTCATTCATCCGTGCACTGTACAGCAGGAGCCACCGCTATTTTTTGGGCCTTACACTAGTTTTTTTGGTTTTCGCCTTCGATGGCAGGAACATCATTCCAAGAGGCGGGAGCACGACACTGCGCCCGGAGATGCCAAGCTGATCCACACCATTGGACATGAGCCTCACATGATCGACATTCTCCACCACTACAGCATGCCTTGGGCTTCCCTGGCCGAGCGGCGTGTGCAAGTACGTCGAGCGCTGTGAGTAACCAACTCCTGGTCGGTCCAATTGGTAGGGCGTAGACTGTCGAAGGTTTCTTCTGCTTGCTGTCACGGGCCACTGGCTCAAGATGACATGATCGGAAGACGTGTTGCACGGCCAGCAACTAATCAAATTCAAAGACGTCAATCGACCACAGCTGCCACGTACTACACTTCCATCTTCGCAACATACACCTGAAGGTTTCAGAGAAGGCTGTCAGAGGACTTCATCTAAGTCCATCTAAGTCTGGGAGGAGGCCAGGCAACGCCCGGCAAGGGCACGTTCGCCTGAAAAGATGCGTGGGATACCAAAGACGGGCTTTGCCCGGCCAGACACGTCGGATGCTCGCACACTGTACTATACTATACTATACTATACTATACTATAATATACTATAGACTATAATATAATATACTATAATATAAATTCTTCCCAAGAAACCCAATGGTCCACCCGTCAGAGCTCCTTTCGGTCTTCCAGTCGTGCCCGAGGTGTAACCTACACCGGCAAAGGACCACACAACGCACCGATGCCAGCACTTGGACCAAACTGCCGCTGGGGGTAAGAAGGGTAAATCGGTAAACTGGGAGACCGGGGGCCCTGACCTTTACAAACCACTTGCAGCCATCCTGCACAAGCCCATGGTCGAGGTTTCCGGCACCAAGGGCCACTGAAAGTCCTCTTTGGTTTCGTTCAGGGTCATGACGGCATGCCGGTAAAGTTTACAAGTTCAGTCAATCGGTGCTCCTGATCGCCAGACGCGAGGAAGGCATCATAGTCGATGGCCTTTTTCGCGTCCTCATGTCGCTTGGGCCGTACACAAGCAAACATGCTGCGTCGTTCCTCGCTCGGGACTGCGACCATTGGTCTACACACTCCGCTTGCTGCAGCCAGGTCTCTATCTCTGGGGGCAGAGACCACTTACCAGCCTCACCTTCGACATTCCGTGCTCGCCGTCTAACACGCTCATCAAGGCCCTCTGCTTGGATTTGCAGCTGTGTCGCCGTCCTCGCCCACGAAGACAACGAGCTCGACCGAGGCTAATGCAGCGGTGTCGACCTTTGTCGAGACACTCTCAGTGAGTTCGCTCCGCTCCCGGCTCTCTCTTCACTCAGGGCCTGTTTCAAGACTGTGCAAAGGACCGCATCGACAATGATGACGCGATCCTCCCGATTGGCAGGCCCAGAATCCACAATTTCGACTCCATCATGACAAGACCAGCCTGGGCATGAGAAATGATGTACTCCAGGTCTGAAGGATTCAGCCCTTAGCTGAGACAGAGTGTGAGCTGCAAAGCATCATCTGGCTGCGAGTTCTTCCAGAACCGTCCGTGTGCACAAGGTCACAGCATCGTGCCTCTGCAAGATTGATTTCGTAAGTCTCGAAATGTGCAGAACGTCTAGATTCTAGATACTATAGGGGCTATGGCACAACCGATGCACTCCGGACCATGCTTAGGCCGCGGGGCTAAGGTTCAGAGTGTGCAGAACTGCACCGATGCAAGCAATGGCATGGTAGCATTCGAAGTGCCAACCTCCCAGCGACACCGCTGGCACAAGTCACCAAAGTTGTCGGCTGCGTCGGGATACATGTGATGCATGCTGTGAGTGGGGGTTCAAACAGCCATGGACGATGAGGTACGCACACACACTGCCGCCCAGATTTCATCATCTGTGCCATCTCCGATGAAAGCGTGCAGCCTGTGTTCCACATCAGTGTTGCCACGCGATCCTGCCACGAAGAGACTGCATCGAAGAAAGAAAAGATGTCAGGGTGCCTTGTGCAAGCTTCCATGTGCTGAGATTCTCGCACAAAATCTATGAACCGTCTCTGCGACTGTAGATCAAGCAACAAGTGACTGCTGCTTACGACTTTGTGTGATGTGCGTGCTTGCACTTCGGCTTCTTGCGACGCCCCGAGCCGCCCTTGAGTCGCTCGCGGATGAGTTTGGATCAGCACACCGAGCGTGCTAGAGCACGACTTGCCAATGTCTGGAATTCAATGCTCCGCAACGCACAACGTTCTCGCACCTGCTTCCAAGGCTCACAAGTCCAATGAGCAAGGCAATCCCAAGACCCGGAGTCCTCACATTTCACTCCCCATTTTGTCAGGGCAGATCCCAGCTGCTTCGCCTTGGCCCAACAAAAACCCTACAGGCCCGAGGGCGCACGCGAAAGCATTTTTGTTTCTCCGGGGGGGGGNNNNCCATTATTTGTTCGCGTGCTTCCTGACAGGCCCTGCACGTCGTCAGGCAGGGGCAAGAACAGATGCCGCAAGAGAGTGCAAGGCCAAACCCAGTAGCAAAGTCTTGCTCACAGGCGCCAAACCCCCTAAGCAGAAGACCTCACCGAAGAAGAAAACAATGCAACACGACTTGGATTCAGCCAAATTGCACGCCGGCCGTGCTGCGCATAAGTCTGTGTCACGTAGCCGGACGGTGTCCTGCAGCGCGACCCGAGTCGCCCGTATCACAAGAGCAGCAATCTACTTGCACCACGACCGGTGTTGGAGATTGGCAGTTTCACGATGTCAGGGCCTCAAACCCCTGGATGCCCAAGAACATTGCTACTGTTCTCACCACCAAAAAGCAGCTCAGACAGGCCGACAAATCTGAAAGGGCGGTGCTTCTATGCGACATAACCAGCACCTGTTTGACGGTCGCGAAGAAGCCCTGAGCTTGAATCGTCGCCGACATGAGCCCCTAAAGCCAGATGCCTGGTGATGATGAGGTTGTCGGGCTGCAGCGCTGCACCCCGATCGCAGATTCGGCTCAGGAGCAAAGGCTCGAGATCCTTGACGCATGGTTCTTTTCGTATGTTCTATATTATTGTTCTACCAAACGCAAAACAGGTGGGAAAACGCGGGAATGCAAGAACCAACAAGGAAAGTCTGAAAGGTACCTTCCGCATGGACTCGGTGTGTCGGTGTTTACAATGTTTGTTGACTTCAACAATGCTGGACACACTAACGAAAGGCTGCAGTGCTGCTGATGTTGTTGGCCCTCTTGCTGGCAGAACCAATGATTGCCTCATTTCCGAAGAGAGCGGTCAGAACACCAGATGGGGCACCAGAATTATTTTCATTTCCTCTACAAGACTAAAAACCCTGCAGGGCTCCAGAGTTTCTGTGGTTACCCACTTCGTGTTGTTGCTGTTATGATCACGCAGGTGATGGCATCAACAGTTCGTTGGACCCTTACACGCTTTTCTAAAGGATTCCCATGTGCCGTCTTTCCGGCTCAACTGAAAGAGCTTAAAAAATCAACTGATGTGTTGCTGAGCTTACTTGACTGTCTAAGACTGACGTCACACATCTTGAATGTCATGTTGTGGAGTGGGAGGTTTCTGTGCCATACTCGGTGCAATTGGGCTCTCTGCACAGATGCTACCACACCGGTGAAACTGCCGCTGAATGCAGAGACCGTGCCCTCTTGACTTAATGCAAGCATCCCTGCCATTCACCGGAATCTGCGTGGCCATGGCTTTTGGCAGAATTGCGTTGACTTGAAAATGTTGCATGTTATGGTTCATTGCTGTGCTTAAAGCCTGACCTCTTCCCGAAGCTTGTACAAGCCTAGCTTCGCAACACTCGAATACGCATGGCCATGCTTGCACGGTGTTATGTCGAGACTCTCGGAACGCCGCTGCGCTCATATTCAAGCTGTTCAATGGTCAAGCTATCAACTCTTCAAGCCCCCCTGACGAGCTGCACAAAATCATGAAGGAACTCCTGAGACGATGGCGATTTGGAGAGTGCCGACGGGATCATTTCGGGTTTGCGTAACATGGGGGAGACAAGGTTTAGGGTTTAGGGTCCAGGGTGCAGGATTCAGGGTTTACGACGTGCGCGGCTTCATCACTGCTGCCAATGCACATGCACCGTGCTAGTGTTGGCTGCCAAACACCTGTTGTACTAACCACGATCGCTTCTCAAGCCGTGTCCAATGTAGCACAACAGTGCGAAAGGCGGTGCAAAACAGAGATGCACGGCATTCTTCAAAGCAAGATAGTAAGCCGTGCCTCCACAATGAAGATTGCGAAATGTCCGGTGCACCACACCATGCATGCTGGACATAGTACGCGAATGACAAGCAAATTATCCGATGGTCAACCACTCTCAAGCACACAACTTCCAACCTCAAATCAGGAAGGGCTCTGCGATTCCCGTAGCTATGTCACCTTCATTTGTTGAAGGTCTTCTGCGGCCGCACTGCCGCAGTCTATCACTGCAGACTTGAATAGAAATGTGCCCCAGACGAATGCTGCTGTGACCCTCGGCACAATCACAAGCTGGATTCGGTGTAAGACATGATGGCGGGCATTCTGCATGAGCCAGATCCCTCTGCCTCCAGTCTGCTAAGAAGCAATTCAGCTTTCAACTTTCTCCGACTTCCCCCTTTTGAGAACTGCAGGGGACAACGCTCTGTCTCGGAAGGTTCAGGGTGCAAGGTCGCGCCCGCAAGCCAAAGAGCTAATTACCTGTCGCTGAGAGAGATCGACGTAAAACTTGTCTAGCCTGGACCCAGCCTTAGGCAAGGATGCTCGCTCGACATAGCTCAAAGCATTCCTGAAGATGCCCACCGTCAAGAATGGACACCCAAAACCCTCCGAAGGCTTCACTCAGGACTCAGAGCCCAGAGAGCTTCCAGTTCAGGTACTCCATACTGGTCCACATCTCCTGCTCCGACAGCGCTCGGTTCCAAACCATGATCTCCATGACGCCAAAGTCCGAAGACTCCGTAAAGTGCCCGTCGTTAATGTACAAGTGGGCATCTGGGTCTGACATCACCGGCGCGTGCTGCGCAATATTCCTCCTCTCCTTGCCCCTGAAGACAACCCCTGCGCTGTTGCCGCACAGCACCAGCCAATCGGTCAAGCCCGTAAGCTGCCCCTCCTCGTTCACCCAGGTGTTGTAATACGTAACCCCCACTTTTCCTTCCCAGTGGCCGTGAAGCCAGTTGGACTGGTTGTGCTGGAGAATTCGCTTTCGTAATCCTCCTTCGATATAGCGGGTGACCGAGCAAATGGTGAAGTCCTGCTTCATGATCTGGCCGAAGTCATAACCGGCGTGGGGGTCGCCGGCGAGGTATGCAACCGGAAACTTGGCACCGTGGCCTGCCTCGACCTTTCTGGTGACACTGCCCCTGGTCGAATGACCCTGCCAGCTGCCCACGGCACTTTTCCACGCTGAGCTGACGTCCTCGCTCTTGAACCAGGCCACCATGGAGGACTTGTCAGCCGGCTGCGGCGGAAGGGGTCCGAGCTTGGAGTTCAGATACTCCATGCTGGTCCACATCTCCTCTTCCGAGAGCGCTCGGTTCCAAACGATGACCTCCATGACGCCAAAGTCCGATTTCTCCCCGGAATGCAGGTTGATGTACAAGTGGGCATCTCCAGATGACTTGAGTGCCGCGGTCTCTCCGTCATTCCTCCTCTCCTTGCCCCTGAAGACAACCCCGGCGCTGTTGCCACACATCACCAGCCAGCCAGTCAAGCCCGGACTCTTCCACGGTGTACGGTGAGGACTGGTCACCCAGTGGTTGTAGTGTGCAACCCCTACAGCTCCGGCCCAGTGACCATGAAGCCAGTTGGGCTGGTTGTGCTGGAGGATTCGCTTTTGTTGTCCTCCTCCGATATAGCGGGTGACCGAGCAAATGGTGAAGTCCGGCTTCATGATCTTGCCGAAGTCTATTCCGGCGTTGATGTCGCCGGTGAGGTAGACAACGGGAAAGGTAGCGCCGTGGCCGGCCTCGACCTTTTTCGTGACGCTTCCCGTCATTTGAGCCTGCCAGCTACCCACGGTACTTTTCCAAGCAGCAGAGTCAGCATCCTCGCTCTTGAACCAGGCCACCATGGAAGACTTGTCGGCTGGCTGGGGCCCCTCAAGCTCTTCTTGCCCTGGCCAAAAGTCCTTTAAAGCTTCGATGGCCGTCTTCTTCGTTTCGACAGAGATCCAGGGGATTGCGGTCAGGACGGCAGCAAACTGCACTCCGATGTCAGCCAAAGGAACTCTCCGACTTTCGCTCTGGAAGGGTCCGAAACCCATCTGGACACCCATGTCCAGTCTGTTGCCCTCGAGGAGGCCTTGGACGCGGAAGTTCGACCTTCCCGAAGTCGCCTTCAAGCTGAAGAGCTCGATGACTTCCTCCCGGTCCTGCTTTCGAGCCCCCTGCATGGCGCTCAAACGAAGCATGGCATCCTCTCCTCGCACCTCCCATGTCCTGTTGGGCTCCATGGAGTCACCATAGTCGATGTTCGCTAGGTAGACTGCCTCAGGCTCTGTCTTCCAGTACCAGGACTCCGTCTTTGCACCATCTTCCACTTTATCGCTGCGGTTGGTGTCCACAAGCGACATGGGTTCAAACCCATGCCGGCTCTCCCCTTTGGCGATGCCAAGCGGGGATCTCCAGGTTTGGTATCCGGTGGCCAGGTTCTTCTTGGAGAAGTCTGCATCATCGCCGAAACGCTTCGCAAGCCTTAGGGTCCGGCTGAAGAGAAGGTGGCCGGCGGTTTTGATCTCCGAACGAAGGACGGACAGGTCGACGCCACCCGGCATTTGGTTCGGCCAACACACCGTGGTGACCAGCTCGAAGATCTTTTCCGGTAGAAGCTCGAAACTGATGCCCAAGACGACGGCCACTACCGGCTGGATCTTGATGCCGAACTCGACTGTCAGGCACTTCTCGACGGCCGTCTCGCCCGTGTAGAAGGAGTAGCCCTGCCACTTGTTCCAGTTCTCCTGTCTGGCACACATGCACTCACGAATTCTCACGCACTCGGGCTCGCACACTCAACTCAAGACACCTGCAAACTGCATACTCTCGCAGAAACAATTTTTTCAAACAATAGCGACAGCTTGGTGATAGCAATGTGACCTGCCGCATGCAGCCATGCACGCCGGAAATCCCCTCTCCTTCATCCACGTGTTGTCACAGGGCACCGCCCACGGCTCCAGCTGGACGAATTCCTCCTTCCTCGCCGACGTCCAGTCGTCTTTCGTAGCCTCCTGGTGGTTGCCAACATGGGCCCCGTTCTTGGATCGGGGAGCAAAAGCCAGGCAAGAGCCCGAATTGGCCTCCCTGCCGTTGAACTGGGTGATCAAATTCGCGACCTGGACATCCTCACCAGGCTTAAATTTTGGCATCGGCACTCCCTTCTGCCTCTGTCCCGAAAAGAACTGCAACAGCGAAGGATGCATGTCTTGCGAGTGCATCTGCACGACCAGATTCCCCTGCTGGTGCCGCACCGGAGCGCTTCCCACGGGCGGGAATTGGGACATGCTGGCCTTCTCGATAAGGGAAGTGCCTCCCTGTAAAGCCTTCATTGCTAAGGAAGTGGCCGCCTTGGCAAAGGTCTCGAGATATTCACCCATCACATCACCTAGCTGGCTCAAGTAGCTCAGAGGGGGTACCCGCTCGACGATCTTGAAGCCCAGGCATTTCGTGACTTCTTCGCCGGACTCGAGGTTTTGGCAATGCATCAGGTCATCCCCCATGGACATCAAGCCTTTCACAGAGTTGACCTGCGCGCCTGCAAGAACGCCAACCGGACTGGGCATGTAGTTCAGTGGCGGCTCGAACTGCATGACGTAGGTTGCCACACGTTTGGCCATGCAGTGGAAAATATCGCCCCTGTTGCAGTGGGCGGTGTTCAGAAGATCATGGATCATGGCGAAGGTCCTGTCGACCCCCTCCTGGCCCGCGTTGATGACAGCGTGCAGCTGCTGCGGCAAGAAGTGCACTGGCGGCTCGAACTGCATGACGTAGCCAGCCACTCTCTTGGCCATGCAGTGG